ACAGATCGCAGCCCCCCAGGGATGGCGAGGTCTAAGTTGAATCCGCCGCGATTACCCTCTATGCAGGACCCCCCAGCAGGCCTCGAAAGTGGCGACAGTTTCACAGATCGCAGCCCCCCAGGGATGGCGAGGTCTAATTTGAATCCGCCGCGATTACCCTCTATGCAGGACCCCCCAGCAGGCCTCGAAAGTGGCGACAGTTTCACAGATCGCAGCCCCCCAGGGATGGCGAGGTCTAATTTGAATCCGCCGCGATTACCCTCTATGCAGGACCCCCCAGCAGGCCTCGAAAGTGGCGACAGTTTCACAGATCGCAGCCCCCCGCAGGCAAGACAGAAAGAGGCAGGAAAGAGGCGGGAGGCGGGAGGAGGAAGGACGCGACCACACTGCTCTATTCAAAACGAATACCCAACCAAGGAGGGTTGGGAAAAAAGAAGACAGAAGAACGAGCAGGCGCTGGCACAAGGGCCAAGCGCAGCTCGATCTCACGCTGCCGCTCAAGAGCAGAGGACGCGGCACGTCGCCGACAGCGGTGCACACTCGGGAGGCCACGCGCGACGCGAGGCCGAGCGGCTCTGCGGCGGCGCGGCCAGGCCTCCAAGGGAGACCGACGCCACAGGCCTGCGTTCAGCGGGCGAAGAACGGCATAACTAATAAACCTGCTCGTCACACAGGGCGCCTGTCCCGGGGCGGCTGGAAAGTTTATACCCTGACGTGCCACCGTAGGGGAAGCTTCTACCCTGACGTGCCACCGTAGGGGTAGAAACTTTCCAGCCGCCCTGGGACAGGCGCCCCCGGCGACGAAAGAGTTTTGCTCATACAGCTCTTCGCCCGCTGAAGCATGGACGACCCGAATCAGTACAGCGTGGCCTCCACTGTGGCGCCCGCGAGCACAGCCCAGCGAGCACAGCCCAGCGAGCAGCCCCGCGACCAGGGCACAGCGAGCACAGCCGAACAGCCGCGCGGGGCCTGGCGGGGCTGTGCGCTGCCAGGGAGGGCCTCGAGGTCTCGTGGAGGCTCCGCGTGGAGGCGATCTGCGTGGCCCGCGCCGGGGGCGGGCGGCGACACTCGGCGAGGCGTCCTGGTGTATTTTTGGTTGGTTACGCCTGAAAATCGGGATTCGGAACTGAGAGAACAACTGCCTGGCCCCTGCAAGGCGGCGAACACAGCAGGTGCTCGCCGGAGCCTCGACGCTTCCTAGCGTATGTGATACAGTTTGCATGCGCATGTTTGTTGCTCCAGCGGGGTGTTCTAGATGCATGACAAAACTCAAGGGACTGCAAGCGGGCATGACCAGAAAGTGGGCAGTTGCGGTATTGGCAGCCCCCGCAGAAAGAAATCATCCCATTGATCGTGTCCCTTCCTCGCGTCGCTCATCATCCCGCACTAGCTGCTCCTCCCGCATAGAGATCTGTCGTGGTAGTATCTGCTACAGCGGCAGTGGTGATGGCAGTAGCGCTTGTAACGGCGATGGCGACTGCCTTACATCAGAAGGAATAACTGCATAAGCAGAAACTTTCGACCGTCCGCGCGAACCGTCGAAAGTTTATGTTTATGCCGTCTTCGGCACATGGCGTTTATGCAGACGGTAACGGCACGTGCAGCACCAATAATCGCCGCCGCTAACCTGGTCGTCTGAATGTTGTACCGGCAGGGGCGGCAGCGCGGCCACCAACACATTGCCAGAGACCATCCAAATCTACGCGTGGGCCTCTCCTCTGCGAAGCACAGGAGAGCCCAGAATCGGAGCCTCCATTTAGAAGTCGGTGGGAAATCGGAGCCCAAATCGGAATTCGAAGTCGAATCGAATCGGAATCGGAAGCCATCGAAATCGAATCGAATCGGAGGATTTCGAAATGAGCCCCGAAGCGTGCCCAGACCTCTGACGGCCTCAATTTCGCAGCACACGAGGCTCGCGCCTCCCGCGGCCGGTCGGCACGCGACTCGGGCACCCCCAGAACGCTCTCGGCGAGGCGCAGCTGCTGGAACACACCACGAGGCGCCAGGAACCAACGGCCTTCCGAGCTTCGAAAAACTCATCTCGTCGCCGCCGACGCCGCCGCTGGCCGCCCTGAGCTCTCGACCCCAGAACTCGCTTGGACTTCGCGCCCGCGAGTCGTCTTCGTGAGCCCGGGGCCCGGAGAGAGAGTCTGCCGAGGCCCGACTCTACAGAGGCCCGGCCGTCCTGACCTTCACAGACGCAGGGGCACCTCACCGCACCACGCCCGCACGATGGGCCCTGGCGTGGTGCCCCCGCCCTCCCAGCCGAGGCCGAGAGGGGCTGCGCAGCGTCCTGAGGCCCAGGATGGCTCTGACCAGGCGCGGCGGTGCGCGAGCAACCCCTGCGGGTCTCGGGACGCCGGCGGCCCTAACGCTGCCTCCGTGCTACCCCCCCGCGGCCGCCTGCCAGGTCCCGCCAGCCACACGCCCGCGGCCGGGCGCGCAGGAGGATGCCGCGGGGGGCTGCGCGCCCGATCATCGGGTGCCCCTGGGGGGGCGCGCGCCCGGGAGCCCAGCCGGGCCCCAGCGGGCGGCTCGAGAACCTCGGGAGGACGACGACGAGGTGAAGTGGAGGCGGTGGCGGAGGCAGAGGCGGCGTGGCGGGGGCGGCTGGGGAGGTGACCTCGGAGGCTGTGGCGGTGGCGGAGGCGGAGGTTGAGGTGGGCGTGGCCGCGGAGGTGGGCGCGCCAGATAGGGCGAGGACGCGGAGGTGGACGTGGGCGCGGAGGGAGACGTGGACGTGGAGGTAGAAGCGGAGGTGGAGGCGTGAGCATCGTTTGACCGATCCCTATCCCCACGGGCGTGGCCTTGGCCCCACTGGCCGATTTACCCCCCCAGATGGGGGCACAGGCTGCTTCCTTCGAGTTTCGAAGGGCACATCCCCAACAGGGGTGGTGGGTGGTAGGGGTCGGGATGGGGATGGGGATGGGGATCGGTCAAACGATAACGAGTGGAAGTGGAAGCGGGTGCGGACGTGGACGCAGACGCGGACGTGGACGTGCGGATGTGGACAGGCTCCGCTTTGGCGGCGGGGCTGCTGCACGCTGACACCTCCGTCCCTGCTGCTCGCTGGGGGGCCCCCCCCTTCGGGGCGGCCGCTCGGTCCTCGGGCAGCCGCTCGGCACGCCTCGTGGCCCGCCCAGGGAACGCCCTCGACGGGGCGCAACCGGCGGAAGCCGACCCGGGCCTTGGAGACTGTCAGAGACCCCGAAAAGCTTGCGGAGAGCCCCTGATCGCGCCGCCCTCGTCGGGGGGCCCCCGGCTGGGCACGCCTGGGCACCCCCAGCGCCCCGAGCGAGAGCACCCTCGGGGCCCCCGCTGTGAGGGCCCGCGGGGGCCTCGGCAGGCATCGGGCCTGGGAGCCGCGTCAGTCAGCACCCACGAGGGAGGGAGGAGCAGGAGCGAAGAGGCGGACGGAGGAGGGAGGACGGGGGGGAGGACAACCGAAGGGTGGGAAGACAAGTCGGGAAGATCGAAATGGGTACGGAAAGAAGGGGTACAAAGACCGACAGCATTTCCCGTTCATTTTGGACAGGACTCGCTGTCGGTGTCGACGCGGACGTTGCCCATTTGAAACAGTAGGCCGACCGCCCAACAGCGGCCGCTGTCGATGTTGGACAGCATTTGTTGTTGGGCATCGTACCCTTTATTCTTGCGTACCCATTGCGGGCCTCCAAAGCAAGGGAAGACACTGTCAGTCCAGAAGAGCCGTGCAACACAAAACGACCCCGGGCAAACTCGGGGGTGTCGAAGCCTTCTCGACACAGCTGGAAGAAGGGGGAGGGAGAGAGGAGAGGAGGGCGGATGAGCTAGGTACGCGCTCGCGCGATATCGGACATCCTACCCCTCCCACCCAAGCCTGCCCATTGCGTTGATTTTTTCAGATCCGCCAGCGGGTAATCATAGCGGACTTCGATCCCCGAAATCACCCCATGACGTGGAGGAAGGAGAGGGGGAGAGGTGGAGGAGGAAACAACAAGCACTAGGAGCGGGAAAAGCAGGAGGATCAAGGGAGGGCGGAAGAAGGGAAAAGAGGGAGCAACAACAACGAGGAAGGAGTCGGATCCAGAAATTTGGTCCGAGAGGCTCGAGAGGGACACTCTGATCGACGGGACCAAAGCGCCAGTCCTGAAATGGGACCAACGCTGCAGCGGGAGTACCATTTGAGTGACAACCGAAGATTACCTGAGTGACAACAAAAATCGAAAGCAACAGTGGGAGAATGGAAAAGTGGAAAAGGAGGAAGGAGGAAGGGGGAAAAGGGAAAAGGAGGAGAGTAGGAATCAGGGAAACTTTTGATCCGCGGGTCGAGAGCGAGCCTCTTCCGGTCGAGGCTAAGCGGGCCGCGCACAGCTTTAATTGACAGAGGGGGGAAGGCAGAAGGAGGGGCCGCACGTCAAGGCCAAGAGAAGGCAAAGCCCCGGAAACAGGCGGTGCCGAAGGCGAAGAGCATGCAAAGGAACGCCTTGTACAGGAACCCGGAGGCGAAGTACCGGAGAAGCAAAACGTTGCGATGGTGGTGCCGTCAGCGGCGCTTCATGTACACCAGCCTCAAGTGACCGCGGGAGAGGACGCACCACGTGTCCAGGGCGACACCCGAGAGAGTGAGGAGCACCGCTGGGCCGGAGTGCAACGTTGTGCCACCGAACAGGATGCAAGAGAGGCCCAGGCCGTGGTAGTCCAAGGTGCCCCGTACACAGGGAAAGAGAGCCGCAGTCAGAGGCGCGGCTGTCAGGTCAAGCCAGGAACATACCGCCTATGACCGACAGGGTGCCGGTGTGCTGCAGGGAGGACGCCTGCCCCGCAGTGGCGAGCGCGTGGGATTGGGCCGAAGCCGCGCACGTTGCGCTGCCGTTCCGTGGTGCCCATGGCTGGGCCGAGGCCGGGAATCACGGAAACAGGGAGACAAAGACTTGGTGAATTGGTGAAACGGTGAAACAGTGAAACGGGGGAAAAAGGAAACCAGGGAAACGGGGAAAGGGAGGAGCGTTCCAAGAACTTCAGACGACAAGGCCATCGCGCCACTCTTTGCCCTGGGCCCGCCCTGCAAGGGAAAGGGGGGAGAGGAAAGGACAAGGGGAAGAGGGGAGCGGGATGGGGAGACAGACAAACGGGACAAGGAGCAGGGGAGATCGGGCAGCAGAGCAGCCAAGGGGGCAGGGCAGCACGAGCTGGCGAAGATGCGGCGGGCTGCGCGGGCTGGGGGTGCGCAGGACGCCCGCCTGCAGCCTCGCGGGCAAGCGGTTGATGATGCCCATGTCGCGGGCCATGTGGTGATACAGCGTGGCGTAGCCCTTCTTCTCGATGACCTCTGGTAGGGGCTGGGTGGGCCTCTCCCATCTCGTCTTCCCTCCTCAAACCCCCTCCCCCTCTCCACCATGCCCCCATCATCCATCCTCCCCCCGTTTCCTCCTCAGCACCATCGGTTGTCCCCTCCTCCTGCTCCGGATCACCATTCCTTCCTCGTCCTCGTCATCGCCCACCACTGCCAGCACCAATACCGTCATCAACGTAAGCTTCGTCGGCGTCGTCCTCGTGTTCGTCATCATCGGCAGACTCCTCAGCAACAGCCTGAGCATCATCGTAGTCGTCGTCACAACCATCTCACTTGTCTGTCCCTTCCTCATCATGAGCACCAGTTGCTTCATCATCATTACCGCCATAACCATCATCCCCACCAAAATTACTGGAAGAAACCTCCATGATCGCAATCGTCATCAGCATCGTCATGGTCATCATCATCAACATAATTGCCATCGTCATCAGATTCGTCGTGATTAACGTCATAATCATCATCAACATCATGAGCACCATCATCATCATCATCATCATCATCAGCAGCAGCAGCAGCAGCAGCAGCAGCAGAACCAGCATCAGCGCCGTCAGCACCATCAGCATCATCATCCTCATCAGCATCATCAGCATCATCAACAACAGCATCATTTGCAACATCACCATCGTGAACCTGATCATCATCGTCAACATCATCATCAGCAGCAGCAGCAGCACTATCATCATCATCATCATCATCATCATCATCATCATCATCATCATCATCATCATCATCATCATCATCCTCAACAACATCAGCATAGTCGTCATCAGCATCAGCATCATCATCATCATGATCATCATAATCAGCATCATCATCATCAATCAGCATCGTCATCATTAGCATCATCAGCATCATCGGCATCATCATCAGCATCATCGGCATCATCGTCATAATCCTCTGAAGCAACATCAGAATCATCATCATCATTGTCATCATCAGCATCATCATCACCATCAACATCAGCATCATCATCGTCGTCGTCATTGTCGTCATTATCATCTTCATGTTCATCATCATCATCATTATCATCATCATCATCATCATCATCATCATCATCATCAGCAGCGTCATCATCGTCATCACCAGTGTAATCATCAGCAGCATCAGCACAATCCTCATCATCATACTCATTACTCATCATCATCAGACATCATTATCAGCGACATCATCAGCATCCGCATAATCAGAATCATCAGCATCATCATCCCCGTCGCCGTCGTCATCATCATCGTCATCAGTATCATTATTGTCATCATCATCCGCATCATCGTCCCCATCATCATCATCATCATCATCATCATCATCATCATCATCATCATCATCATCATTCGTCGTCGTCATCGTCATCGTCATCGTCATCATCCACTGCATCCATTCCTTCTCCTGGCCGTGCCTGGGCCTGCAGTCCGAGCAGACCTACCTGCGTCGACGAAATCGGCGTACGTGGCATAGAAGCGCGCTACAATGGGAGCACCACAGCTTCAATATTCAGCCCAGCAGCCTTCTGCACCCAGAAACGAGGTTGGAGGCGAAGGGGGAGGAGGACGTTTAGGGTAGTTCTAGCTTGTTTGGAAAGATATTGTGTGCTGGTTGAGGTTCGCGGAAGGCTGCTGAAGACCAGAGGGCGTAGCAGCATTGATCACAAGCACCCCGGCGCTGTCGCCCTGGAGACAGAAGAGGCGAGCAAGCTCCACAGGAAATGATTGCCAAGACCTTGCGGTTCCAGCAGAACTGGTTCAGGCAATAGCCAGCGATGAACACCTAGCGCACTCCTCCTCCTCCTCCACCTCTTCCTCCTCCTCCTCCTCCTCCCCCTCCCGCCCTGTCTTCCTTTATTATCCCTCCTGCCTGAACACCCTGACGCATCGAGCCCCCCCCCCAAAAAAAAACTTAATTACCCTGGCGACGTACCCAACCCCTGCGCAAACGCGGGGCGCAAATAGTTTAGGACACTTTATAAGGGCGGCGATGACGGAGCGAGGGTTACATATGTCTGCAGACGGAAATTCGGGAGACTCGCAGGACACTGGCTACAGGACAAGGACTAGATAAAGCTGATTAGTTACAATCCCTAAGCACCCCTAGCCACTTCGAAAGCGGGGATCTCATATCGCAGCTCCGGCCCATCCGGCCCAAGGATACGGAGGTCTATTGTGGTCCGCGATGCGCGTCCTGTGCTGGGCCCCCCAGCAGGCCTCGAAAGTGGCGACAGTTTCACAGATCGCAGCCCCCCAGGGATGGCGAGGTCTAATTTGAGTCCGCCGTGGCGTCACTGTGCTGGGCCCCCCAGCAGGCCTCGAAAGTGGCGACAGTTTCACAGATCGCAGCCCCCCAGGGATGGCGAGGTCTAATTTGGGTCCGCCCGTGGCGTCACTGTGCTGGGCCCCCCAGCAGGCCTCGAAAGTGGCGACAGTTTCACAGATCGCAGCCCCCCAGGGATGGCGAGGTCTTTGATCTGCGGTGGGTACCCACTGTGCTGGGCCCCCCAGCAGGCCTCGAAAGTGGCGACAGTTTCACAGATCGCAGCCCCCCAGGGATGGCGAGGTCTAATTTGAATCTGCCCGTGGCGTCACTGTGCTGGGCCCCCCAGCAGGCCTCGAAAGTGGCGACAGTTTCACAGATCGCAGCCCCCCAGGGATGGCGAGGTCTAATTTGAATCTGCCCGTGGCGTCACTGTGCTGGGCCCCCCAGCAGGCCTCGAAAGTGGCGACAGTTTCACAGATCGCAGCCCCCCAGGGATGGCGAGGTCTAATTTGAATCCGCGCGTGGCGTCACTGTGCTGGGCCCCCCAGCAGGCCTCGAAAGTGGCGACAGTTTCACAGATCACAGCCCCCCAGGGATGGCGAGGTCTAATTTGAATCTGCGTGCGGCGTCACTGTGCTGGGCCCCCAGCAGGCCTCGAAAGTGGCGACAGTTTCACAGATCGCAGCCCCCCAGGGATGGCGAGGTCTAATTTGAATCTGCGCGTGGCGTCACTGTGCTGGGCCCCCCAGCAGGCCTCGAAAGTGGCGACAGTTTCACAGATCGCAGCCCCCCAGGGATGGCGAGGTCTAATTTGAATCCGCCCGTGGCGTCACTGTGCTGGGCCCCCCAGCAGGCCTCGAAAGTGGCGACAGTTTCACAGATCGCAGCCCCCCGCAGGCAAGACAGGAGGAGGCAAGAGGGAGGCAGGAAGGAGGGAAGGAGGAAGTGGAGACCACACTGCTCTATTCAAAACGAATACCCAACCAAGGAGGGTTGGGAATAAATAGCTTGGTCGCCCAGACACCTAGAACACCCTCAATGCCATTAACATCGCAATTCCCCGCAGACTGACCCCGTAGCATTACCATTATCATCCTGCCCCCACTCATATACATCATCGACGTCATAATCATCAACAGTTTCATCAACACAATGTTGATCACCATCACCATCACCAACAACATCACCCTTTCCACCTCCACCATCAGCATCATCGTCATCAGCAGCAGCATCCTCATCATCATCATCATCATCATCATCATCATCATCATCATCAGCAGCAGCAGCAGCAGCAGCATTAGCATTGTCATCACCATCGTCAGCACCCCTCCCTGCCACTTCTCCGCCTCCTCTCCACCATCCTCGTCTTCAGTCCTTCCTGTTACTCCTTCTCCCCCGTCACCTTAACGCTCCCCTTCATGATCACCATCCTCGCCATTGTACCATCATTCCTCTCCCCTCCTCTTTCCTCTTGCCAGTCGGCCTGGCGCTGGCTTGGCGCAACGCTTGAAAATAACTGGATTGGTTCGTAAAGCCGCCGGTGTGTGTTCGCGGCTGCTTGGCAAAAAAACGTGCGGCCAGCTTGTCGTACCGATGGCTCGTCGCTGCGCGACGCGAGCCCCCCCATTTTTGCCCATCCACTCTTATTTCCCCTCCCTCCCCATTCCCCACCTCTCTCTCTCTCTCACTCCTTCTCGTCGCCGCACTTGCTCTCCCTTCCTCCACCGTTCCCTTACTTTTCCTTCCCCACCTGAACGCCCAAAGAAGATTTATACACGGAGGGTCGACACGGGGGATCCGAAACAAGAGAATTTTCGACAAGTGGAATAAACGTGTAATAGCAGGGTGCCTCGTAATTACCCGTTCGGCTGCATGCAAGAGTGGCCCGAAGCCTTCCAAAAACCTGTGGCCCGCGTTTCTGTGGGGGGGAATCCGAGCGCGCAGACAGAAGTAAGCGTGCCCCCCTGTGAGCGACGATAAGAAAAAGGTTTTACGCGAGACGGCATGGCGGAACACTGCGCGCAGAAAAAGGCGTCCATGCGCGACCTTACGTGGGAAATTTACACGCGAATGTCGGCGCAATCGGTCCCGCGAACTCGGGCAGCTGTGCCAGCGGCCGATCATGCCCAGCGGCGGCCGCTCACCCCGGCGGGGGCCGCGCCGCATCCGCGCGTCCCCGTCGCGCCCTCGAGAGCGGAAGGAGCCCGTGGCCGACAGGGGTGGCCTGGCCGCACGGGGCGGGGCAGCGGCGGGGGCGGGGAGCTTTTATTCCGTCGCTGATGCGGGTCCGCACTCCAGGTCACCCCGGCGGAGGGCCACCCTCACGCGCAGCCGACCTGCTGCGCGGGCACTGGGCCGCCGCCGACGGCGAGGCACGCCGTGTTCGGGCACGCTGGCGGCGCGGCGGGCGACCGCTGCCCC